GGCCCAGCTAAGGCACTCACCTGTGCTCCAGAAGGGAAGTCCAGGGCAGGATGGGAGCTGGGGGCTGGCCTCTAAGTCTCAGGAAGTGGCTGGGGTCTGGGCAGATGGGCATGGGGGCAGGGCGTGGAGATTGCAGGGTCTGCCAGGGGTCTTGGAGAAGGAGATCCTTCCGGGTGGGGCTAGAAGGGAACCTGCCTGGTGGCCAGAACCTGGGGCCAAGTTGGGCAGGTCTTCCCCAGAGTGGCTGGTGCCCAGGGATGGGGTCCAGGCCCAGCTAGGGCACTCACCTGTGCTCCAAAAGGGAAGTCCGGGGCAAGATCACTTTGAGTTTTCTTAATGCCAATGAGAAAGGAACAACAGCTACAGAGAGACATTGGATAATAGAAAAAACTACAGAATTAAATCAGCCTATATACTTCAAAGATGTGCTGACCTCAGAATGGAAACCAGGATATGTGTTATGTTGGGGACAAGGTTTTGCTTTTGTTTCTACAGGAGAAGATAAGCTGTGGGTACCATAAAAATTGATAAAAGTTTGATTTGAACAAGAGAGACCTCTTAATTAGAAGAGGTGATAGTTCATCAACCAGCATGAACATCCAATTTAAACTAACTTATACCAGTAACACATGCCTTTTCATTTAATCAGATAATAACTTACCAAAAGGAACATCCCCAAAATTAGTCTTGGGGAAAGGTTTTTGATTTTGTCTTTTAGGAGAATGAAGGTTAAGGAATCTGAAGAACACTGGACAAATGAGACAACTGAAGAAAAGGGACAAATCATCTATCCCAGGAAACAGAGTGAAATGGCATATGGGTATATCATCTAAAAAATTTTATGTCTTCCTAAATGTTTGTTACTGCTCTTCTCTAAAAATCTAACACTATTGGTCTTCTAATAGTCCCAATTCAATTAAAATTTAAAGCTGACTTTGGAGTTGGAGAATGGCTCTCTCCTTCTTTAAACTCAAGCATGTTGTTAAAAGGAAAATGCAAACTCCCTGTATCATGCCAGAAGAAAAGAGCCATCTTCTGCTATGGGACAGGAGAAAAGTCAAATTAATTAAGGGACTATTCTATTACTAATCTCAACTTTTTGATTCTATAAACTTTTCTGAAAGTATAAATTTTGTATCAAAATTTACAAGATTAATATGTATATAGATATATATACATTTTAAACTTTGTTAAGATATGAATGGTCATATAGGGTACTAATTAATTCTAGAAAAAAGGCTTCAATTAGCTGCATATATATGTCTTTGTGTTCCAGTCTCTTATCAGTTTTCTGCAGGAAATCACAGCCAGGCCTAACATCCACTGAAGTCTCCAGGAAGAAGATGGGGCCCCACAACAACAACAACAATTCCACGTGTACAATAATAATATCACTAAGCTGACAAACATCATCTACAGATCAGCTTTGAACTACAAAGTGCTCAGAGCAATTTTGAGAGGCCTAGTTAGGATGATCCAGTCTCAAAGACTACTTGAAAAAGGACTTGAGACAAACCCTGAACTTTGGCATTATACACAGAATGGATAACGAAGGATATAGTTACCTTTCCTAGCATTTGACAATTAACCTAAAATTTTTCTTTTAGGATAAAGATAACTTTGCCCATACCCAGAAGGAAGCAATTTTAAGAATACAACGCCCACATTCCCAAAGAGGTGGTGTGGGGCGGGTAATTTTTTTTTTGGTCTTTTTAATGGGTTTTGGGTCTAACTAACTCTTTCATTTTTAGGGTTATAAAAAGCCCACTTCTCCAATATTCCTGGCTATCCTCTCAAATCTGAGATTTGGGAGAAAACCTATTATGGCAGAATTTAAAGTTTATTTAATTTGACTCAAAATATATTGATTGGTGGTTTACTTTCTTTCAGTGGGAATATCACTATCCTTCTTAGTAACTTTATGGGAGTTGTGATATATTTCATCATTCCTGGTGTGTCTGTATGTTTTGTCATCTGCCTGCATCAGTCTGTTACAGTCTCCGATCCTCTTTATTCATTGGAAAATGTGGCACCATGAGGAGTCCTAAAGGATTTCCTGCCTGCAAGCCATTTGCTTTCTTACCTCCATTGTGGAGAAGCCACGCAATTTCCTAATGTTTATCTTGGTCATCCAAAACTCCTAACACTGTTATTTTCTTTTTGGCCTATTGGATTAACCATATCAGAAGCTCAATGTGGCTTGGGAGAAGTCTGAGCTTCCAGTTCAGTGATCTGTTTGTTGTAGCTCCAGTCAGGAGCTCTGCCCACCAATCACACTGGAATCAAAATTTCCAAGCAAGAAAATTAAAGTCATAGAAACAGAAAGCAAATTTTTTCCATCAGTTCAATAGGGGTAATAATGAGTGGTACTATTCCCTTTTCTAACACCTGGTGCCTGGACCCATGGATCTGGGTTAGGGAGAAATCTGCCTCCTGGAGAATACTACTCCAGCCCTCCTGGTTGCTTTTACTTCATTGGCTCCATAACTGTGTCTTCAAAACATCCTGAGAGCTGCTTTCAGGGTGTTGGTGAACCTGCTTCAACCAGTGGATCCCATGATGGTGGGCCACAGGTTCACCTATCTGTCTGTGAATTTAATCTTGGTCAGAAGCAATACCATGTGGAATAACATGATGGTTGAAAAGACATTCTGTTAGTTCCTGTGTGATAGTTTTGGTAAAAATCATTACAAGTGGGAAATGCAAATCTATACCTAGAATAACAATTTGCTCCAGTAAGTATTGTCCATTCCATAGAGAAAGAGGTCCAATGTAGTCATCCTGTCATGAGTTTGTTGGATGGTTAGCCTGGGGAATGTGACATCTCTGGGTCTCTGTGTTGGTCTTTGCTGTTGGCAGATCTGGCATTCAGCAGCAGCTATAACCAGGTCAGTCTTGATGAGTGGATAGCTATGTTGTTGATCTCATGCACAACTCCCATCTCAGCTACAATGGCTACTGTGATCATGGGCCCATGGGGCAATATCAAAAATGACTTGGGAAAGAGTCTGACAGTCCATGCAATGGGTCATCATATCTTAATTAGTTATTGACTCTCCGCTGAATGTACTTTCATGGGCATTTTCAGGGGACAAAATATCTTCACATTCTTTTCTCCTTTGCAGATCTTTCCAAATACTTCTTCACCAAATGTCTTTCCAATTTTTCTTTATTTCCTTTTTTGGTTTTATGTTTTCTTCTCTCACATAATGCCATCTGTCCATAGTCTCCCCTCCTTCCACTCCACATAGATGTACTACTCTCCTGTTTCCCTAGAGAAAAGCACAGGTCTCCTGGGGATATCAACTGGACACAACATACCAAGATGTAATAATTGTAGGAATAATCCTCATACCAAGCCTAGAGGAGCCAACCCAGAAGGACGAAATATTCCTGAGATCAGACAAGTATGTAAGAGACTCCTAATAATCACTTTCTTAGGAGTCCCACTAACTACTGAGCTATGTAGCATGAATCTTAAAAATTCTTATTAATAAAATCAAACCTGAGGCCAGTTATTGGGGTGAAAATGGAAGATCACACAGACGGAACAGGCCACAGCTACCTCACATCCCCGGATTTCCAGCTGACCCTGTTTCGTCAGACTGGAAGCCTCCATGTCCTCATATCATAATGGTGTTCAGCTGAACTGTGATGCTCAAAATCTAAGAGCTTAACCAGCCAAATGCTTCTAGTTTCTGGTCCTCATGCCTTATATACCTTTCTGTACTCTACCACCACTCCCTGGAATTAAAGGCTCACTTTCTGTGATTAAAAGTGTGAGTCACCATGCTTGGCTGTATGCTTGAACACATGGATTTCTGACTCTGGAATCAGGATTCAAAGCGTGTGCTACCACTGCCTATCCTAAGTATCTAGTGGCTTTTCTGTTCTCTGACCCCAGATAAGTTTATTACGGTACACAATATTTTGGGGAACACAATACCACCACAGAGCTAAACAACCACAGCATGTATACAGAAAAATTAGGACAGACCCATGCAGGCTGTGTGATTGCCTCTTAGGTCTCTGGGAGCCCCAGTGAGCTCTGTTTAGATGAATCTGTGGGCTCTGTTCACCTGCTGTCTTTGAACCCTCCTACAATCCTGCCTTTCTCTGGTCTTTGAGATTCCCTGAGCTCTGCCTAATGTTTGGCTGTGGATCTCAGTGTCTGCTCCCATCAGCTGCAAGAGAAAGCCAAACTGATGGCAATTGGGCAAGGCACCAATCTACCAGTGTAACAGAATTTCTGTAGGTATTGTCTCATTGACGTGAGTGTGTGTGTGTGTGTGTGTGTGTGTGTGTGTGTGTGTGTGTGTAGACCGCACAAACTTGAAAAGCTGAGCAGAGTTGGATACAAAAAAAATGGGATTGCTCAAACAGAAACACCACTGGAATCCACAAACTGACTTTAACATTTTTATTCATTTGATATTTTATTTGGGTAGGCATTGTCTACAGAGATGGATGTGCCCATGGAGACAAGAGGAGGACTGAACAAGGGTCCTCTGCAAAGGCAACAACTGCTTTAGCCAACTGAGTCATCTCTCCAGGCCCAAACACTGAGTTTGGAGAAAAAATGTCTTCTTCCTCTACCCCTTCTCTTGCAGGCAAACATTCATGTTTTGTTTTCTCATTTCTGAGTCCTTGACCATATCTTCTGCTCAGTCCAATCCAGATAGGTTTCTCCCAAGAAACCCGGTTGTAATGTGCTTGGGGCCAGAAACTAAAATGAATTCCAGGTTCTAACTCCTTGGACAAAAATCAAACCAGTATAACAACAGGCAAGAGGCTGGGTAGATTGGACCAGAGTCCGAGGCTACCCCTCCCTCCACCTGACTTTGGTTGCTTTACATCTGTATTAAGCCTCAGCCACCATGCTGTTTTTCCCTAGTTTCACTGGAAATGTTCCACACATCCCAGAGTCCACCCAGGTATCATTGGTAACAACACTGGCTGCTGCTTCTGGGTTACAAGTGTAGGACAAGGCTGAACAGGTCCTAGGATTGTTCCAAACGTTTGAAAGGGGGCTCCAAGAAAGGAAGATGAGCAGAAGCCAAGGAACGGTGTGCTTCAGCCACTAAATGGGGATAGGAGCCCACCATTGCCTTCCAGCCTGAGGTCTCAGAGACCTCAGAAGCATGAGCTGTAATGAAATCCAGTGCCTGGGCTTTCAGCTGTCCTGAGCTGTGGAGGTCAGCCAGGAAGAGAGTGTGGGCAGCATTCTCCACAGAGAGGTCCCTGCAGAGGGCATCCTCACATATGACCTTCAAACTCTCCAGGCCATACTTGTCAGCAGCTGCCAGCAATGTATCTGCCATGCTGTCCAGGTCTGGTGCCTTCCCGGTGTAAATGAAGCCCATCATTTCCTTGAAGACTTGTGGCTCCAGGTCAGGGATCTCAACGCGGTTCTTTCTGCTCTCCTCCATGTCATGTTGAAACATGGCTCTGAAAACTGGAGAGCGAGCTGCTAAGATGGCCTTGTGAGCCCGGAATTCCTGACCAGCTACCACCAGGGAGCAGTCTGTGAATTGGGACTTCTCCCACAGCTCTCCTAGCTCATCTGCCAATGTGCAGTTAGGAACCTGAATTGCTGGCTTCCGGTTCTGGTCAGAGTTGCTGCAAGAGACCTGGACCACGCTTACCTTGCAGGCAAGGGTGAGGTGGTCATCTGGCAGTAACCAAAATGCATGGGACAAGAGCAAGTCTCAAAGAATAAAATTTTTGTATCCCCAGCTCCCGCCTGGCATGAACCTAAAGGCTCTTGGGCTCCTCGTGACTTTTATTTTCTCTCCTTCCGCACTTATGATCCAGAACTGGAACTTTGCCCAAACATGACTCTTTAGACAGCTGAGCAACACTAGGTAAACTGATAGGTAATCTGCACTTTCTTCATCAACTCCGTTCGGGAGTACTCTCAAACACCATTTGTCATTGCTTCCTATTGAGAATCTTCGGCTGACAAAGCTTTCTGGTATTTCCTCAACAATAAAAGGGAAGTTGTTGATGGTCCACCTGTAGGAGAAGTCCTGAATGCTGATCTGTGTGTGGTCCCATCTCTGGGCTATCTCATCTCCTGCCATTTCTCCTGCAGGTAGTTTGAAGTTTCAACTGGATCCAAAATGAAGAACTAGCAATTGTTTTCTCTTCATCCTGTGAGATGCCATAACAGACAAGATTTTGATTTTTAATTTTTGTTCATCATCTGTTTTCTCTTCCATGAGGCTGGAAACTTGGGTCTCTGAAATTTTCTATCCAGATTTCAATACTAATTTCAGAGAACACAGTCTAGGCAACTAGATACTCTTACATCACTCCATTATTTCCTACATTGAATCTTAGGTCAATAGGTAACTAGGTTTGACAATTATACACAGCTTTTGGATAGTTTTCATCATTTATTCTATTAATTCATATCAAAAATCTTGCACTAGGGTTCTCTAGAGGAACAGAATATATACAAGGAATCTCTCTATGTATGACCAAAGGAGATTTATTTATTAGAATGACTTTGGGCTGCAGTCCTGCTAATCCCACATTACCTATGAAGGGAAAGTCCAAGATTCCAGTACTTACTCAGTCCAGGATGTTGGATGTGTACACTGGTCTTCAGTATATGCTGGTGTTCCAAATATTCTCTATTTCCAGGGAAGGGATGGACTTGCTGCAAGGTGAGGGCAAGCCGGCAAATAGCAAGAGCTTCCTGCTTCCATGTCCTTTTCTATGCTTCCAGCAGAGGGTGTTGGCCAATTTAGGGTGTGTCTTCCAGACTCAAGATCTGGATTAAAGGTGTGTGTCTTCAAGCCCTGAGATCCAGATTAAATGTTTGTGACGTTTTACTACAAAAATCTGTCCTTGAAATGGATCTGTCTACATCAAATGAAGCAAAACACTTCTCTCTGTTGTGACCTCCATTGTAGGGTTTTAGTTAATCCCATGTCTTGTTAAGTTGGGAACCCACAAAAACCACCACAAGTGTATTTTCCTTATTGTGGTTCATCTTAAATAAAATGGGGATGGTGTCCATTCCTACACAGCTGTCATTTCCTCTTCTCAGGGTTTTACATTAAATCCTCCCACTAACATGATTGGGAAAGAAGTGGTCCTTACCCTGTCAGGGATCACAGTGTTCACAACACGGAGGTCAGGGTGGAAGAATTCATACATGGTGGTCAAGAAGCAGAGCCAGGCAGCAAATCTGAAAGTGGCAGTCTTCTTTCATCCAGACTCACATTCCCTGGGATGGCTCCACAAACTTTCACTGGTGATCCTGCCCTCCCCCTCAGATAATCCTCCTTGGAAAAACTCCCTTGATCCACTAAGGGTGTGCTATGAGATGATCCTAAGTTCTCAATTCCATCATGATGACGGCCATGATTCAGCTTCTCAATACCTCATAATTTTCATCCTCCACTGGTGAGTTCTGTCCTCTTTAAACTTTGAACTTCCATGCTTACTCTGATGATCCTTAAAAGCGAGACAGTATTCTGGTTTTCAAAGGCTGCAGAATATATGCAACAGTTACTGAAGAAAGAGTTTTGAAACAGTTCTTCCTAGAATGGGATCTGTAAAATGCTCCCCACACCCATCATCTCTCTCTAGTTCATCATGTCTAGAGGGACTCACTAAGCCTAGAGGACTGGGAACTACCTTCAGTGGTTCAATCAGCTCAGCAATTCCCAGCCTAGCTCTCCTGAAAGTCTGGCTCTAATACTGCTCATCCCTCAATCCAGGATAAATCAATCAATTGGTTTTGATCTCTGAATTTTGGGTTCCTCATTTAGTGGCCTCTGTGACTTCTCTGTCCGTGTTTAGGGCCAGGGTGGCTGGTACCCTTTCCCTCAAATATGCCATTTGTAATGAAGGTAGACAATTCCTGCAAGACCCCTCATTTGTAAGAAAAGAGCTCCACCTGTAAGTCCTGAGCTTCCATGAGCACGCTCCTGCAGAGTGAGAGCACTTCTCTGAACGGGGAACTGACTCCTGCCTGGGTCTCAAGTACAACATAGAGGTTCTCATTCCAGGAATGGAACAAGTGTACCTTTTATTTCAGGTAGGTGGTTCTCTGGAGGACAGGGCACAGACAAAGGGACTCAGATTCCCAACTGGAGAAGTCAAGTCTTCAGCAGCAGAGGTGTTCATGCAACAGAGAAAGCCAACAGTCAACACAGCAAAACAAATCTAACAGTAACAAGGACAGGTCCTGGCTCCACTGCCTGGGGGCCTCCCAAACAGTTCAAGCTCATTAACTGTCTCACTTATTCAGAGGGCCTGGTCCAGTTCCATGGGGGCTCCTCGGCCCTTGGTTCACAGTTCATGTGTTTCCTCCTTTGAGCCCCTGTGTCAGAGAGTTGGACACAGACCAAACCCAGGCTTGCTTGTAATTCATAAACCCCTGTGTGTTTCACATTGGATATCGGCTCTGTGGTGGTCTTGCTCTGGGGTCTCGAGATTTGGGCACAACACCTACATCTCATCTCTCTCCAGTTAGGCCTGTCTTGCAGAGACTCTCTAAGACTAGACGACACAAATAAGTACAGATTCAATCAGCTCAGCCATTCTCAGTCTGGCTCTCCTGTAGTCTGGCTCCAACACTACTTAATGGTCAATACAGGAAAAAAAAAAATCAATCAGTTGTTTTGGTCCCTTGATTTTGATTCATCTGGTAGACTCTATCCAAATGGCTACTTTGTAGCATGGGTGAGTCTTTATCAGGCAAGTTCAGGGTCAGGATATTAGGTACCCCTCCCTCAAATCTGTCATTTGAAGGGTTTGAATGTGATCGCTTCAACACCCATTGTTTCCAAAAATGGTGCTCTAAACTGTGAGTCCTAGGCTTCAAGGAGCATGCTCCTCCAGGGCAAGTGGGACTTGTCACAGAGGTACTGAGAACCCTTGGGGCACTAAGCTTAGTCTTGGTTCATAAAGTTTCTCATTAATGGAGAGGCACAGGTGGAGCTTTTCTTTTTGCCCATTGGTGGAGGCTTCATGAGGCGACCTGATTTTGACAAGAATATTCTGTGGTGGTATTGTGTTCCCCAAAATATTGTGCACACTAATAAACTTATCTGGGGTCAGAGAAGGAACAGCCACATATTAAACATAGAGGATAAACAGTGGTAGCATACACCTTGAATCCTAGCACTCCAGAGGCAGTAATCCCTCTGGATCTCTGTGAGTTCAAGGCCACATTGTAAACAGCCTGGTATGGTGACTCATGCCTTTAATCCCAGAAAGTGAGCCTTTCATCCCAGGGAGTGATGGCAGAAAGCAGAAAGATATATAAGGCATAAGGACCAGAAACTAGAAGCATTTGGCTGGTTAAGCTTTCAGGCTTTGAGCAGCACAGTTCAGCTGAGATTCATTCTGGATGAGGACTCAGAGGCTTCCAGTCTGAGGAAACAGGATCAGCTGAGGAACTGGTGAGGTGAGGTAGCTGTGTCTTGTTCTGCTTCTCTGATCTTCCAGAAATCACCCCAATACCCAGCTCCAGGTTTGTTTTTATTAATAAGAACCATTTAAGATTCCTGCTACATTATTCAGATCCCCAAGAGGAAGTGGCACATATATTAATCCTGGTGGGGTTGTCCTCCTACCTGAGAGAGAATCTGTTCATTAAAGGAAAACAAAATTGACAGAACCACACTGGAACACACACACAAACACACACACAGAGAAGACCAAAGGACTACCCAACACACGTTCATACACATGAACAGACAACGAGAATCAGGTGAAGTCTCACAAATTTTTAACCATGGATAGTAGCCCCATGCACACAACTCCTGTTTGACCACAGAGAAAGAGCCTTTACCATATCTTCCTCCACACTTGAGAGGCCAAACAACTCCTAAGCTGTTTCCTTTGTGTGGGGGAATGCCAGATTCCTCTGAAGTGTAATGCAGCAATTGATCAAAGGGAGTCTTGAGAGCCTGGAACCCAGGAGGACCACATCCTAAGATAGCCTTCTACTCCATACCCATCCCTACATCAAGGGGCTCTGAGTCCCCCACTGTATCTATTTCTGGTCTCTGGGAACTCAGTGGAACCTTCCTAAATGTAGGGTAGCCACCAGAGAACACTGCTAGGACATGGATTTGTTCCAATAGAAAGTCGGTATTGGCAGGCTTTCCATTTCCCTGGGTGTTAGGGGACCCACTGTACCATGGAGCCTTTCTGGGGTAGCTCTCAAGCACAGATTGCATATTCCGAATTCATACAACTCTGTTCAAAAGAAGAGTTAGCCAGAACCAGAATAAAGCAAGCAAAACAGTAGGGGGAGAACATTTACAGTTTCCCGAACACTGTGGACATTGATTTCTTATGCTGTTGTTTTAATTTTGGCAGCTGGTGCTGTGGAGGTGATGGATTCTGTAGTCTGAGCGATACTTCCCCATGGGATCTGGTGTTATCTCACACATATTTTGGACAGTGAAGGAGCTGGCCATGGCAAGCTTCTCCTATGTGTCCAACAGGGGTTTTGTTTTTGTCGTTCAGGAAAATGAAGGCTGAGGAATCTGAAGCACACTGGACAAATAAGACATATCCTCTAGAAAAAAATGTTCCAAGAAAAGGAGTAAATTGGCCTCTTGGTGCATCATATATAAAATTTCATAAGTCTAAATGATTATTTCTGCTTTCCTCTACAAACACTTAACACAAATGCTCTTTATGTAGTTCCAGTTCAATTAAAAATTAAAGCTGATTTTGGAGTTGGAGAATGGCTCTCTCCTTCTCTAAACCCAAGCATGTTGGTAAAAGGAAAATACCAAAATCTGTATCGTGTCAGAAAAAAGAGACATCTGATATGGGACAGAAGAAAATCAAAAAAATAAGGAACTATTTTATTGCCATTAATCTCAATTCTTTGGTTTGATTTCGATTCTTTAAACTTTTATTAAGGTATGAATTTTACAACAAAAATTATAAGATTAATATATATATTAAACCTTTGTTATGATATTAATGGTCATATAGTGTACTAACTAATTCTAGAAGAAAAAAAGGCTTCATTTAGCTGCCTATACATGATTTTTGTGTTGAAGTTTCTATCAGTTTTCTGTAATGAATCATGACCAGGCCTAACAGC